TGAGCTGCTCAACAACCTGGGCAATTTCATCAACAGGTTGGTAAAAGCCGAGATGTTTTAAAGGGACTCCCTGCTGTTTTTTATGTTTTACAAATAAAATTTACTTTAGACAAATTTAAGAATCTGAAAATGGTCAGTAAACCTAACAAACTCGATCCAGTCTCATGTTAGGTTATTACATACAAATACTTGTTTTTCTGGGTTTTTTTAAGCTGTCTCTTCTAATGTTATTAGTTCATCTCAACCACTAGCAATGTAAAAAATGGGGCAGTCTACATCCTCAAGTTGCTCACAGTCTCTGCAGAAGTTTCACTCAGAAAGTAAATATGCAATAAAGCTGTCATCCAGTCCAATTAACAACGAACTTTTCAGATTGTTGTACTTTGACTATTACAAGAGATTCACCCTAGTTTTCCAAATTTGTTTGGGATGGCGTAATTTAGCCCCAATTACATCGCCTCAAATGATTTTTAAAAGATCAGGGTTAAATCCCACATCAAAGATTTTTCTCAGCAGCTTTTTTTTCCCAAAGTACCTTGATCTTCAAAATTGGTCTCGGGCAGCAATGCTGATCCCTAATTGGTTCAAAAATATCTTGTAGATTGCAACCAGCCTAAGGTGTTGGAGGAGTAAGTGTTCTGCTTCAGAAAAGAAGTTCTGTCCTTGCCTGGATCCAATCCCTGAATCACAACATCATTAGTGACAGTGGGTCCAGCTTAGACACACATACAGATTTATAGAAGACTTTGTACCATTTAAATGCTGTTTATTAAAAATATTTTGATGACAATTAATAAACAAATATGGCTAAATGCCCATATTTACTAGCAAAAATACTGCTGTAGACTCGCTCATTTTACCAGTAATAATATTGTTCTTTATTCCCCCTGAATGAAACCCCTTAGGGAATGTCAGTTTCACTAATTAGAAGGCTAAAACAAACAAAAGGACACACGAAGTTTCTGTTCACACATCAGAATCTCGGTTCATTGTAAATTTGACATTCTTGTCAAAGCATTTTGGTCTCGCAGACCTTCCTCAGAGGCTAAGAGACGTGTAAAATATAGAACAGTGTGTTGCATCAGCCATGACAAAAACTTTCTCACCACGAACGTCCTCCTGATGCGCACATAAGACTCATATCAAAAATGACATGTTCCAGACACGGCTACAGTTTAGAAGCAAACAAGGAACTGGGAAGCGGCTTCACGCAGTGCACTGTTGTGTTGGTTTAAATAAGGAGAGCATTGCAATTACGTATGGCAACAAAATCTATAATTTATAAACAATTAGCAAGTCTAGCAACCTGCCCTTCCCTCGTTTTGCTCTCGCAGCCCCTCCCCGATTCTCTCGCTTCGTCTCTCTTCATTCCAGCATTTTTCTCTGACCCCTGTTGTTTATCTGCTTTGTAAACGCCTCCTCTCGCTTTCTTCTCCAGAGCCGGCATGTTTGTCACCAAGTTCTTTGAGGGCTGCGTGCCTGTGATGGAGCTACAGGAGGAAGATAAGAAGCTTCTGGCTCTGGTGAGCTGGGAGCTGCAGCAGTACATCCAGCTCATGGACAAAATCAAGTAAGAATCACATAGCAGTGACAAGCAACAGCAGTGGGGTGATGTTAGCATTTAGACAGAAACATGCCAGCTTAATTAAAACGACCTTTTTAGAGCTGCTGTTGTCTTGAATTTGTTTTACACAGTTTATTTATTTAAAACTCAAAAATGTACAAATAAATCATCAAATAATTTTCTGAGTTACAAGTTAAATTGTCAATTATATCACAAGCTGAAACTTTATGTGATTAGACTGGGCCTCGAGTATTGATGAAAATCGTCCCGCTGCCATTGTCGCGCTCTTAATGATCGATATGATATGTCACAGAATCCGCGACGCGCTGAAACACATCCTGAATATCTCTCGTCACGGCAACCAGTACATTCAGGTCAATGAACCCTGGAAGAAGATCAAGGGAGGAGATTCAGAAAGGTGAGGCCCGGGCCTGGGTTTGTGTTACGTTTTATTAGTCGCAAATTTTTATTTTATATTAAAACAGAGACGGGAAAATTACTTTTTTTATAGTAAACATCTCTGATTAGAGGAGAAATTAATTTGATTTATCTCAGATAAAATGTCTTAAATTGAATTTTTTGTAGAAAAAGATATTTAAGATCTAATTTCTGTCCATTTCGACTTACTTATCCCCTGTTTGCAGGCAGCGTGCAGGCACGGTGACTGGTGTGTCTGTGAATATTGCGTGCTTGCTGTCGGTGATGCTCTCCCCGTATATGCCAGCGGTCAGCCAAACAATCAGGGATCAACTCAACGCCCCTCCATCTTGCATCAACACCATGTTAGAAGGCAATTGCACCTTTGTATGTTCCCTGAGTGCGGGCCACCGGATTGGCGCGGTGAGTACAACCCCGACAGGTATTACACACAGGTCGTACATGTGTAGACACAGGAACGTATCTGTTAATGCTGGGTGATACAATGAGGATGCAACAGTGTGTCAACTGAGCAGAACAATAGAATAATAAAGAATAATAGCCTAGGATGTGTTTGGAGGCCTCAGCCTTCGAGCAAGCAGCAAGTTTCTCTCAGGCCATTTGTCCCTTCAGGTATAATTGTGGTGATCTGTTTGTGCCTACCGAGGCTCAACACTACTGCTGTAATGATTTGCAGTCGTTGTCCTCGGATAAGTATCTGGACGCTACGTCAATCGTATGTTAAAGCTTACATGTGCACAAATATTCTCATTTGTTTGAAGTGTAACGCTATTCGCCGTGTGGCGGTGGGCATCACGGAAACGCTGCAGATTTCTCATACATAGTTATGTACTTACTTACTTGCATAATCCTCTTTGTTCACAGATGAGCACAGAGCCTCCAGGTTAAATTTTCAGATATACTGTCCTCAGGCTGGATCGACGATTGCAAACTTTTGAAAATTCCTGCATATATTTTTAATTTTTACCTTTTTATTGCCTCTGCCAACTCGTTTTTTTCGCAGGTCAGTCCGTTATTCCAGAAACTGGAGGCGGATCAGATTGAAGCTTTGAAGAAGAAATTTGGTGGACAGCAGGTATTTGATGTTTATGGTACCTAATGGTCTGTGCATGAGTTCATTCGGGTCTCGTAGTAATATAGGTTCACCATATTAATGAATAATGAAATAAGAAAGAATTGATCATCTATATCTGTTCACTGGTGTCTGTGAGACTGTCATAAAAAATAATTTGTACTTAATTGAGCTGCCCGCTTTTTAAAACACGATATAGCGCAAACACACCGCAAATGTTTAGATTATGTATTAAGCATCAGTCATATAGATAGAAAATAATCCCTTTCTAAACCCTCTTGCCTCTAGCCTGAAGACGAACCACCTAAGAAGAAGGTATTGAGTGGTGTTTGTTTGAAGAGTCAGTCCACAGTAGTTCTGGAGTGTCAGCGCTCATTTACCGCATGCCTTCACTAACACTAGCTGCTAATTTAACATCCTCAAATGTTGTATTTTTACTCATCATCTCGTGTCTCCTGTGATTCGTTGTCCATTCATTGACTCGTACGATCCCACTTGCATTTTGAGTGATGAGTAGTGTTGTCTGGAATTAAATAATTACTGTGTAGAAATAATCCTCAAAATGCCTTCGATTCAAACATCTTCTTGGCGTTTCCACCTTCAGACAACAGTTCGTAACGCTGCCAGCGCTCAGTCTGCTGCTGTGGCAGCTCCTGCTGTAGCTGTTGAGGTGGGCACGGTGAACCAGGTGGACCCGGAGAAAGCCGAGCAGCTCACCCAGGCTGTGGCGGAGCAGGTGAGAGCGCCGGCCGCCTAAATACGCTGCTGATCTAAGAAAAGCCAATGCGGTTCTTCCATGTTAAGCGGCATTGTAATCAGTATTTTTGAATAATTTGAAATAAAAATTGAATGTAGCGTTTTATTCTTAATTCGTTTTTTTGATAACTGGATAACAAAGCGTACTGTATTTTCCGCAAAAGAACAAAAAACGTCTAACATTCTGGAAGTAACGCGCACGCGCTGAATTTATCCGTTAAGTATAAAATCTGTTATTTCTTTTTTGAAAATTATTTTGTAATTTGTAGATTTCCAAAAAATAATTGTAATAGATTTTATTTATTTTTTTTCAAATATTACAAGATACCTTCAGTCACGATTGTTGCTGTCAAATATTTGGAAATTCGTTTAGGGCGACGTCCTTCTGCAGACAAAAACGCACATTTGCAAAACTACAAATCGTTGCTTTTGTGATTTCATTCTGAAATTCTCAACAACTGTTTAATTTTACTCATCACAGGGGGAGAAGGTCCGAGCACTCAAAGACCAGAAAGCAGAAAAGGCCGTGATCACAGCAGAGGTGACCAAACTGTTGGACCTTAAGAAACAGCTAGCCCTGGCTGAGGGGAAGAACCCTGAGCCTGCACCTCAAAAGGGCAAGAAGAAGTGAAAATTTAAAAAGGGAAAGAAAAAAGGACGGAGGTTAGTCTAAGTATGGGTCGAGGTGTGATAGTGGAGAACGGGAACAAGATGTACACAGAGAGAGAGAGCAAGATGAGGGTGTTAGCTTAAGGCAAAGCCGTGACAGGATCTAAGACAATGTGGTATTGGCACTGAGGACTAATGAAATGCTGGATTGGCCGACGGGGAAATGAAAACCGACAAAGAGAGAGTCAAATGAATACAGCTACAGAATGGAGGGATTTTTTCAAATCCCTACACCAAAAGAAACTGATTTTATACTCTCCCTGTGATAAAGTCAGCATACAATATTAGTGTTGGAAGGTGTGTTGTGCATCTAAAGATGTTTTTATATATATATATATAAATCCTCTGGAAATTTGTTTTGCTACGAATACCATTTTTAGATCCATAAAATAAAATGATTAACTTCAGAAAAAAAATGTCTGTACTCTCCACCTTTCTCATTTACCACACACACACACAGAGCACAGATCCTTAAGACAAATAATCACAGACACAGAAAAATATTCTAGTTTTCTTGTTTATTGCAAATTGGGTGTGTTACAACGCAGGATAAAATGAATGGTATGGTAAAATACATATTTAATGCCATCAGTGACAAAAGCCATGCATGCAATATTCTGCAATTAACAATTTAAGTGATTACAATGAGAAAATAACAGTGGATATGTTGGTATATTACAGTACAAGCCTTTACAGTACAATTGTATATATTACAGCATTATATAAAAATAGTAAATAAGGGTAGAAGAGCTCTTAATAATTCTACCACAAATTCCCATAATAGAAAAGGTCAGCTTAGAAAGTAGAGCCGGTTCCTACTTGCTTTATGTAAATACACATACACACAAGCCATGGGTTATACAAAAGTAAGAAAATGATGTCTTTTTTTTTTCCTCCCCCCACAAATAAAAAGCATTCTCTCATACTCACACTGCACTGGGCACTTTCAGACTTTTCCTGAGCTCCTAAACTCTCCACAAATTGGGGCAAATAATCTCTGCTAGCCAGATTGCAGCCCTTAAAGTAGGAGTTACAATTTATTGCAAAATGGTGGGAAGATCTATCAGTGAAATGCTCTTTAAACGAAGTTCCTTTCTGTCCTACATGCAACTCAAAATATGGATCTCATTAGGCATTCCTCAAAATGACATTCATTAAAACCTCTGCGTGATTTGCACTTAGAGCCGTCTGTTCTCCTTCATACATGCTGTGTCTTTCGAAAAGCCGCAATGCTGTTGCAGCCCCTTTTCTCTCTGTACCCTTTCATGTCTTGACTTTCATCACTTTCCTTCCTCTTGCAATCTTTATCCGTCTTTTACAAGAAACAAAATCCTCACTTATAAAAATTTATCTTTGGTTTCCATTCTTCTAAGAGGCATTTCATGACCACCCTGTTACACCTTTCCCCACCACTGCTTGTTCGAATTCTGTAGGACCTGACATATTTTATTCCTGTCCTCCTTCACCACCTCCCTCTCATTTTCTGGTGTTGACTAGTCTCTCGATAAGGGCTCTTCGTGTCCTCTGTACCTCCTCTCCCAGCCTTTCGATTTCTGCTTTAAGACGCTCGTTCTGCTCTGTCAGCTCCTGTACCTTCCTCTCGTTCTCCTGCTCTCTTTCTTTGCGACTCTTTTTGGTAGATGAGTAGGATGAGCGCTGCGAGGAGGAAACAAAAGAGGACAAGGCACCGTTGGCCCTCTCGCTGGTGGTCCTCTTGCGTTTTCCCAAACGGGAGGATGGGTAAACAGTGGGAGAAGACACGGGTGAAGAGGGAGAAGAACAAATTTGAGATGGTGACTGGGAGGCTGAAGAGGAGCAAGATGGCGAATCGGGGACGCAAGGCAGTTCCTCCTCGCTGGCTGAGGGAGATGCAGGATGGACATTAGCCTGGTGGTGCTGGTGGTGGTAATAATAGCCACCGCCGATCACTGCTCCACTCGCATCCACCATTCCCACTCCTCCATCACTCAGCAACTCGAAGAACTCGGGAGGCAGCAAGTCACTGCCACCTCCTGCCGAGCCATCTCCACTTCTCCCACCCTCAGCCTCCACCTGCCGTTCTTCTGTAACAGCTGGACTCATGCAGGAGGAGGAGGAAGAGGAGGATGACGACGAGTTGTGATGCAGGGTCTGGGTGCTGTGGATCTCCTCTGTGGTCCTCTGGACACCGTCACCCCATGTCTGGCTGCCATCAGTCAGCCACGTCAGAGAGCAACTTTCCAGGACATCCATGAACTCTGGCTCCTTCTGGAAGCACAAAATGTAAATGTCAAAACCGGTCGAGAGTTAAAAGTGCAAGTAAATTAAACGTCGTCTGGCACACGAGTGAAAATTTTCACAAAAATTAAAATAAAAGAAAACAGGAAAAAAAAAGTGCAATGAACAAAGACTCACATTCATCATGGGTATGATACCATTTCATTTTCCAAACTACTGACCTCGGTGCATGTAGGGGCTCGTGCCAGTTTTGCCCCTCCTGTGTCAGAGCCCAGAATATCCTGCAGGTCCTCATACCACGCCTCCAACTCTGCACCATACAACGGCCCCACACCAGGGGGGTACGGCGGGGGCAGGTGTAGCCACTCGGCAGTCATCTCGCCAATCAGTCGCAACGCACAGATACTCGGCCACACAGTTCACACTGGACCTGAGGGGAGGGGGGGTGAAAGGGAAAAGTGCAAAGCAGCTGCAGGTTAGATGACTGACATTGTGTTCAATTTAAAAATAACTGTAATTAGATATGTAGTCCGAGTACGCAGGGATTTAGGATGGTCTGTCTCAAAACTGAATACTATAGTCTGGCTTTGTCTACTCAATAATTAATCAAGTTTCAATAAAACAGTAACACAGAGAAAAATGCATTATTGCAGCAAAAAAAATGAAATCAACTTAGGATGCCGTAATTCCACAATTAAATGGGTGGAAAAATAAAAAAGATCACATCGAAATCTTAAAAGATGGAATGAATGTTGAATATTACCTTTAGAAAGCCTCCTTTAATCAAGTCTGGCAATTTGTTGGAGATAGCTTGTCCCAATAATTCTGCAAAGAAACATACATATTTAGTAGGTTAGTAAGAAAAAGAATGGTGTTTTTTTTTTTTTCCCCTTACTGATTGAAATTGCTGAGATTTCAAAATCAAAATAGAGATTTGGCGAACACAGAGCCTGCTGTGAGTGGAAACAAAAAGGTGCCCGAAACGCCACTGGTTTAACTGATGAAATAATAAAGAAGAAGAAAGAAGGCAAAATTCCTGTCACATAATTATTGTAAACAAAGACCAAGGTGCTCTCCACTGCGCCCCCTGCTTTTGACGGTCCTCAAAACACGCCGGAGTCGATAAACAAGTGGTTAAAACGCCGAGGAAACTCAGGAGTCCAGCTCTGTCTGCTCTGCTTACAGTCGTCTTAAAGACCAGTACACAAAAGCCATCACAATGACTGAGTTTTGTCATAAAAAGGTTTTTTAATGTGTAAAGAGAAAAAATAAAATAAATTACTTTGACTTAGGCAGTGATATAAAATGTGAGCGGTAAAAAAAATAAAAATAAAGAAACCCTGTTTAGCTTCCTCCTGTTAAACGTCAGATGTGAACGCAAACGTACACGCGTTAAAACTGTGGTGACCAAAACGCGTGACATTAGTGTTTTATAATAACACGCGTATATACGTTTTTCCTGTTTTAGTTACATGACCACTGTACGCCAAGACAATTACGTCATGGAAACCCAAGTCCAGCCGGGGGAATGGGCGAAACAAAAGGAAACGTAGA